TTGATAGTAATTGTTTGCCAGCAATGTCGTTCCTGCTTTTTTTATTTTCAACCACTGTGAATTGTGAATCTACGTGGATCCCATTAAGGAAATTCCTTGTGCATTAAATAATTGTGATGAATTTTTTTTTAATTTTTCACAGTAGCAATTAATTTAATGAACAACAATTGCTTCTATACCTAAATAATATGGATGATGGCGTCTGGTTGAGTAGTAAATATCTACAATGAAAACGGCACATTTGCATTTCGTGAGCCTTCATTTTCTTGAAAAGTTTTTTTAATTCGAAACTGAACTAACGATTTCTTGGAAGGTTTTGATTTTGAAATTCTTATGCTGCTCTTCGATTCGAATTAAAAAGTGGATTGTGTTACTTTAATTTATGACGTAACTCTTTTTCCGAATAAATGATCTGACAATTGACATTTTTAAATTTCAAACATTGTCACCAATGACTAAAATCGCATAATTATTTGGCCTGCTAACTCAAGCATCTGAAGGAGACGCACTTCTTAGAAATCTAGAACTTCAATGAGGAAAATGTGGCTTTTTTAGTGATGTTGCCTTATTAACAAAAGTGAGTGAATGGTTTAGCAGGCCGCTCCAACCATTCACTGGTAGATTGGTGTGGCTGTCTTTTATGTCGTCACATGCCAGCTTGCCTGCCTAGTTGGTCTCTGAACACGGCTTCAAATCATCCAGATGTGGCCGGCTGTGTTCAGTGTGACTCCACGTGACCGAGGCGTTTGTTCATTGACTGTTAAAAGCTCTGATACACAGGCGGATTGCTCAATCCCTTGTTTCGACTTCGAAAAATAAGCCTTGTACTTAGAAACGAGTTAGGCCCATTAGAAAGCGATTCATTTAAGCCTTTACCATTTTAATAATTTGCGCAATTGCCTGTGTCGAGGAATGCAGTTACTATTTTAGACGCATCATCAAACAAGTTGTGTTCTTCGGCCAGATTCACAACATAGCTTTGCATAATTCGTTCGTTAACGATGAAACAATAATTTAGGCTGGAATGGGGCTGAATTTTGAATAAATGGGTTCCACACAGAGTAGACCCCTTTGTACACCTTTTAACTGCTTAAAGCATTTCTGGTTGGTATGCTCTGACAAGTTAGATAAGCCATCGAAACGCGAAATAGGCAAATTAATGAACACGTAGTTAGGTGTTTTTGTGGCATTACTAGCGATGGAATATGCTCAACCTAATTCATCTTATGGTTAACCACAGCACACCCTCATACAAGCATCACTACTTGCAAACTGCAGCTGCATCTTTATAGGAGCAAGTCTTATATAAGTTACGGCAAAGTAGGAATCTACATGGCAATGTTCGAAGCAAATACTTGTATTTAAAATCACATGTTACATTTTAGACATATTATTGCCTCATCCCTGGCATGCTATGTGCTGAAATTGTAGTTTTCCTAATTATTCAGGCATTGGAATATACCGGAGCACGTCCGATATGTGATGCAGAAATGTAGAGGCAACTGTTCAACTTACAAATAGACTTTGTGAAAAATCTGTACAAAAGTCCACAAACCACCCACTGCGCTGTTAAAAAAGTAAAGTCAGTGTGCGATGTCATTTGATACAATGTCGCCGTTTCAATTTAACGCTAATCAAACTGAACGTCTGCTTTACGTCATTGCGTAAGACTTAAACACAATAATCTTCATATTATTTCATTAGACAGTAAAAAAATTTATGATGTTTAAAAGCGATCGCTATTTCGTCAAATTGCCTTTCGTCGTGCAAAACAAAAACCGTGAAAATAGTGAGGATCCTTCAAAGAGCATCAGAATTGTGTCCGTCAGAGGCGCCTCGTTTATTCTAAGACATTAACATTAAAAAATCAGAACACAATGGATGAAACAAATTATAGTTCCCGGATAGATTCGCTATCGCGCCAACAGTAGCAATCACAGAAATCGACATTAAACCCACACACTGACCATTTTATTGATTCTTAATCCTTAATCAGACTTACAATTCGTCAGTAATGGCATTTGACAATCGCATTTTGGCATATTTTGTGAGCCTTCTAAGGAGTTATTGTCTTGAAAGCCATTAAAGTTGGTACTCTTGTTACGTTTCGGTACATTGCTACACAGTCACCTGTCAAGGGGCTTTCTCCTTTTGCAAGATTAACTGGCTAAACAGTTATTGTGTCAACCCATCAGCTACACGACGAAACACGCATGAATAATTCCTAATGTGTCATTGTGACAGAGTTCATATTTCATTATGCATTGTTCCTAATTAAATATTACTGATTTCGAGACACATTCATCTGAAGGTTACTTTTGCGACGTCGCACATTTTCCCATTATTTGGAAAATGCACACAGCGGGGGCGTCACCTTTCTCTCTACTTGAAGACCACAATCCGCAGTAAATTAAACAAACCAACGTCTACTTCAGTTTAGCACCACATTAAATATACTGAAACAGAGGCGCGCTGCATTTTCCACTAAAAATTTTTGAAGGGTTGCCTTCTTTTTGGTTTCTGGTGCATAAAACTAGAGTAAATTTTAAAATACAAATGTTTCTTATTCTTATTGATTCCGTTTGGGGCAGCTTCAAGCGTTTTAATCTAAAGTAAGTCTGTTTTAGAAAATAACCTAAGGATTTCATGGTTGGTATACTTTTACCCTGCTATATGTTGACACATTGATATGGCAGTAACCTCGTTTATTTGCACAAACTTTTAGTTTGAAATTACAAAAAAGAAAATTTTCAAACAGCAGTAGAAAACTTGGACTTGATAGTAGGCAAGCATGTGGCGATGATACAGGCATTCAACTCGTGCAGTACATGTTTCCTTGTGTACCTTTTTAAAAACAGCTCTTTAACTAATCCGGTTTAAGTGGTTTAGTTAACTTTTTCATGGATTTGGACAAATTTGTAAAATAATGGAGAAACATTGAATATTTAAACCATGATTCAGCTACTAGAAACCACGAAATGAAACAAAATTGTCGAACCTCTTCTGTTATGCCATGATGGCGAAGTCCAAGTGAATTGGGTACTTAACTACCTGGTTGATTTTTTAGCCCATCCAACCGGTGTGCTTTGTTCTAGCAGCTGTTGATTTCAACTTGAAATGGTACTCAATTGACGACAACAGCCCACGCAGGCCTGAGTGTCGCTAGGGAGGCCAATCCAGAAGCCCAACTAGATCAAACACGATCAGCCGATGTATCACTGACTGACCCCGAAGAAATGACCTGGTTCCTGATCCCTCTACTCAAAAATTCCCTTCTTGTCTCGTTGACGTGTTCGAGACTGTGCATAACATTCTCTTGTTCAGTAAATTCATTTCTCTCAACTCTTCACGTAGTTACTTTCATTTGCCGATTAGAAATGCCAGAAATAGGTACCATTGTCACACGAAAATACCAACCTGATACCTCACATCATTTTCTCTACAGTGAATCTCGAAGAATCTCCCGTCCTCGTCAAACTAAATGGCAAAGCACTAGTACCGACCAGGCGGTCAATAAGACGTGCATTTAGAGCAATGTAATTCCGAAGTGCGGTGTTTTTTGTCATAGTAAAAAAATGCCGACATTCATCTCATGTTTGCATCTATAAAGGTTTTGCAATTGTGATTTTGTGTGATAAATTGAAAATCTTTACTAAAATATTGCACATTTTATATCGTACTCCATTTTATCAAGAATAATCGGAGTTTTAGCAGATTTCAACTACCAAATTTGCTTGAAAGTATCAGCAATCGGGAGATTTTCATCTCCCCCTCTGGCAACATTTTCCGAGGTGTAAAAGATATCCTAATTTTCTGAAGAGGTTGACATTTTGCTTGTGTCGCGGTCCCCTTTAAAAGCACATAGTCCAACCGAAACAGAGTCTCATTTGCTTTTAAATAATGCTTCGTTGATTTCATTTTTTCCTGTCATTTTAACTTGACGTGAAATTGCCCCGAGGGTATTTTTAGCAAGCGCCCTTGAAGTGTCGTGTCTGGAGATAAGGAGACAATTCTGCCCTTTTCCACTGCCCAAACTTGCACCCTGTTTTTCTGTGCTACGAAAAGGCAACTAATAACAAGAATTAATTCTGTATGGTAATGGTAATTCGTTTTTTTGTTGTGTCCTTATTGAGTTGTAGTGCTGTTACTTGCATTATTTCGCAATTGATTCGAAACACGGTACAAGTGTTTTGTTCGTTTACATAATATAAACACACCTAGGACAAAGCCTTATCCATGCATGTTTCACAAGATAAACATTCTCATGATTGTCAAATGCAACTCAAACACATCTGACCAGCACTAAACCACTTGTACTTCCAGTCATTGAAAGTGGTTCCAAAGAATCATCACATCGGTTATTAAACGTCGATAAAACTGCTTGCGACTAGTTTGTAGCCAACACATTGGAAGCATCAAACCTCGTCAGTACAAATGGTCTTTTGCTTTGCTGTAAGAAAATGGTCAAAGGATCTGTCAGAATTGAGTGGACAGATTGTGTAAATGCTTCCACAATCTTTTACATCTGCATTTTGCAAAATCTCTGTTTTAACATCCACACATCCATTTTATGGTCGGAGTCTTCAAGTGGTTAAAATGTGACACAAATCAATTCCGAATTCATGCATATCTTTTCATGAACTTATCGATGTGCAATCGACATTTTATTTGGTTTCTGAATTTACAACTGCACGGCATCTCTACTAATGAATAGAGGTTCTAAAATACTTTTCCGTGATTTAAAAATATCCCAAACATGAGGAAGGATTTGCCAAACTGTGGTTTGTTTGACGCTTCTTTTATCATGCAGACACCTTACGCACAAGCGAAGTTGTAACCAATCACTGATTGTCTGTGGCCACACTCCCGCCCAATCAGAGCTCGCATTGTGACGCATCCTCGTGTGAAAGAAACACAACCTTTTGTATCCCACATGCCGTCTTTTCCAAGCGCACACACGCGCCTAATTTAATTTCTATGGAAGCATCAGCCTAGCAGAAATGGCCACCGCAACCGACTTACAGCAAGCCCTTAGGGCCAACCAGCTGAAAACGGTGACGATGGGTTATATTGGAGGGCCGGTGTGCGTTGTGGGGATCGTCACAAGTGCTCTTAGTCTCGTGCTCTTCAAACGCGACACCTCCACAACCCTGAGCACTCGACTCCTCCTCTCAGCCATCGCCGTAGTGGATATATTTTTCCTACTCTTTATGTCTCTCTTCTGGAGCGTGAAACGGTTCCTCCCTCAAGACTCCACCGCATTCCAGCAGTTTGAAAATCCCGTCGTGTTCGCCTTCATCTTCTACATGAGCAATGTGTTTGAACTCTACCGAAATTGGTTGGTCGTGGTTATAGCCGTGGAGAGACTGCTCTACTTTCTAAAACCAGTTGAATTTAAATTTCTGTGGAGCGTTAAGAAGGTTGCAGCGATTCTCATATTCCTTTGTCTCTCATCTTGTTTTATACGAATACCCGTCTTGATCTATGGGATAGCTAGAAAATCTCCCAAGATAGGCGACTCAATTACCAGACTTACGAGGCTGATGCATTCACTGATTGACTGCGTTGTTTTAACCATCGCACCAGTTACTCTAATGGTTACACTCTCCGTGGCCACGACACTTCGAATCCACGCCGTTGTGAAGACCAAACTCCGTCTTGTCAACAGCAATTTCATCCAGCCCACCGATCAAGGTTACCAGCAGCATGTCGCTAAACAGGACGACGCGCCCTCAAGAAAGCACTACCGCATTGTCAAAATTCTCCACACAGTTCTGATCACCTTCATTATCTGCTCGACGCCATCTATTCCCGCTTCTGTTATGCATTTCTACATAGTCTTTCACGAGATTGAGGGCGGCAGGATCAAGTACGTCTCCGAGGTCCTCACTGTAATCGCCAACTTCGGCTCCTTGGTCAATTCCACGTCGAACTTCTTTGTCTACGTGGCCCACAGCAAGAGGTACCGATACATCCTGGCGAAAATTCTCATGCTCGACCGCTGCTTCTCCTCGATCCACAGAGAGCCAAGCAGTACACAAGAGACGTGCTGTAATCTCCAGGAAGACGGTAAAACGCAATGAACAGACGAGAAACGAGTACCTCCAAAGATTCGCACCGTTTGCTACCTTCGGCCCTATCACTCCTCTCACACACGCAAACTTTGTAAATATGTATGTCTTTTTTTCAACTACGCATAGCAGTTTTAACAAGATGACTGACACCTGATTGCACTTACCTGCGGTGTAATTGAATTACAATTTTTAATAAACCTGTTTTTATATTTAAAAAGATCCGGGGATGTACCTTATAAAAAAAATTTGCATGCCTTTTACCGATACAGGTCAGAGTATTTTCTAATAATGATGAAGCAAAGATGTAGTTGTCAAACCTATAATGCAAAAGCTTAATTCCTTGCCAGAAAAATCTAATGTTTTTAATCTGGACAATTTTTCGTAATGGCTATATATTTTAATTACTGTAGCACGCGCTTTGCAGCCCGTGAAACGATGTTACATTAACTAACCACCTACTGCTTGAAGTTACTCCAAGTTACCTTATAGATAATTTTCCCTTAGCTGTACAATGTTGTTAAAATAACTGAAAAAACTGTTAAGTCAACTGGGTTTTTGTTTTATAACAGAGGAGGAAAATTTGATCTTGGTGTCGCAGTCTACTCTGACTGAAAGGCAATATGCCACAGCATTTTAAAACCTTTTGTATTCACAAGAATTACTTTTTTACACTATTTATTCTTCTAACTTTACTGACTTTTACCCTACCAAAGTCTGTCGTTACCAATTTTTAAATTACAGAAATGCAAATCAATCTGTCTTTAAACCAGAAAAACTGGAAATTGATTAGAGCCAAAGCCAGATGAGGAAATTCCTTTTTAATTGACTTATAACACAAGTTCTTAAGAAATAACTAATCTTTAATGAATGTTTGTGCCTTGTATTTTCTATTGGCTTTTACCTCACCTTTTTGAACTTTTGCCATCCTGATTGGATCGATGTTCTTCCTCCGAGGTGATATAATCAAATTCTAATTGGATCTACGTCTGAGGTGCTATAAGCAAATTGCAAGTTTGATGCGTTTTATTGGTTGGTGGACCCCAGACTTTTAGTGGAAAGTTACCATTCAACCATGTCGCGGCATCTGCCACTTTCTCACGGTTTTTCTTCCTCACTGGCACCGTTAGCCCTCAACCCAAAGTAGCCACTGATTCTCAGGGTGGTCGGCGGCAAACGCTAGAAAATTCTCACGACCATGAGTTTAAAATAGTTAGTTCATGTTCATTCAACCTAACAGATCACTAATAGATGTGTGGTTTCTCTCAAGCACTTTTGATGTGCTGTTAGACAATGATAATTATGAAGCTAATGCGACACGTAGTCTGTGCGGGTCGCTTTAAGTAGTTATGCATCCGGAATGAAGCGAGTAATGAACAGATAAATCCAGGCAGCCCAATCGTGGTATGCACATAAAATGGAAACATTTTTATGGTCATTAAAGTGTACTGCATGGTACGCGTGCCTTGAAGGTCGTTAAATCACGTTTTTCACAAAGATAATCAAGAATGAGTGGACCCCACCATTAAAATTTCCGTTTTGGGGGTGGAAGTTAGTGTGGCCCAGTATCAAGAGCATACCATTGTGTCCTATTGAGGCATTTAGTCTCACCACTGCGGATTACTTTCGATTTCCAAAAATAAAACGATTTCCTAGAGGAACTCAGCAATAAAGTTAGCCCAACAATTTGCCAAATTGTTGATGCGACCTTATAGCTCACGGCAGTTGAGTCACTGTAAAATTCTCTGTCTCCACGGAGCTATTCTTCATTGCGATAAAGGGAAATGTTGTCATACGCGAGCTGGAAACCACTCCAGTCATCGAAGGAAAAATGCCAGCTTGTCCGCTTTATCACGTAAGGACTTAGTGGTAGCTTTAAACCTAAAAATCAACCCGATCAAATTCTAGATTCCTCCATTAATTGCGGCTAATGACGCAGACTGGTAGCATACGCCTTCCTGGGACAAGGCCATTTTTGTTTCTTGTACTTTTAAAAATGAATATTTTAAATGTCAGTAGTCCTGGCACATCACGCATGTAATTTTGCGCTCCTTTTTAAAACTAATCTACAGGATAAATTATTGACTAAACACCAAGCTAAATCCGGAGTTTCCATGGTGGACAACTGTCCATATTGGCTTCTCGCTTCACTATAGCGCACGTTTTATAACTCGCAAAGTATTGTGGTGTTAACTAACCATCGATTGCCTTATTTTGACCCAGGTTGACCACCAGACGACAAATTTGTCTTCCACCTCTTTCTTTATTACACAATGTTATGTAGATATATTAATTTCCCATACCAAGGATTGCCCTCTGTATGAAGAAAATTTCTTTAAAAACTCCGATTCCACAAAAACAATATTTTCCCTACCATTTTACTCTTTTTGTACTCCATTTATAGCACTCCTGATGGATTTTTGGATTAGCCTTAAATTTACTGACAACTCGAAGTGGAAATTTCACAAAAATGTGATCGTGTTAGGCTGACTATTGAGGAATATCGTGCAGTCCGATTTTTGTTTGGTAAAGCAGCTTTTAAAAATAGTTGTTTGTTTGTGTGCTAGAGGTTTGCGGATACTGTGTGTACACCGCCGCAAAGCTCCATGGTAATCGCGGTGTTTGGCTTGGTAAAAGCAACGCTATTGCCCTCCTAGCGTTGGCTAGCATTTGGGCTCTGTGTCCTCTGCCCTGCGGCCGAACTGCTAGAAGCTGCTGTGCAGTGATTCACGACGTTAACCCACCGTATCAACAGGACGCTATTAATAGATCCCTGGCAGTCTGTGTCATACTGGTGCGGCATTACAGGGTACTTTTGTGATGCCGATTAAAATGCCCTTTTGTAGACCCGGATGAAAATAGGATTTCACCAGCAGACTTCCGCAAATTAGTCAGTGAGGCTATTTCTCCCGACAACTCCTCAATCTACCCTTAGATTAAGTTAATGACGCATTTTAATAATAAGTTATCGTGTGTAGGTTTGGTTTAGAGCAAGAAAACAGAAAAAAAATATAGAAAAAATGGATAAAATGAATTTCTTTTGGCTGTCTTTTCATACGTTTGCATACACGTGACATTCTAAGGCAAGTCTTCAAGTGACCATGTGGTAGATGTAGAAGGGGTGATCAAACGACAATCTGTTGTTAACTTGATTAGTAGAATTAATTTTGACTTGAAAACTGGCTTTAAGCAAAACTACATCGGCACTGACGACGCGAAAGTGATCAAATTTCATTTAAATTGATGCGAAGTCTTTATACTACCTAAGACTTTATGAGTATCACTGGCAACGACAGCCTGTTTACGCGTGTGCTTCTCGCATGGTTATTCCTTCAATCACTTAACACCAACCCTCGATATTTTCTTTCAAAATCCACAAGAAATGCGGAAATTTCCTTACAGTGGCCAGGTTCTATTCTAAGTAGGCTTTTCCGTTCAAGTAGACCCCTTGAGAAAAACTTGACCATGACATTTTGGAGAGGCTTTTTGACTTTCTGTTTGGTTACTTCCAAAGCCAAGTTATTTTTTCGCCACTAAGAAGCTCAACTCATGTAAACGACAACAGCAATTGTGGGGACCATTAGTGACGTGAGCGTTTTAAAGCCCTCTGTGAAAAAGTTGTCCTGACTTTCAGAACATCGAACAGCCAAATTTATTTAGTTTTAATTAAATATGCAGGCAATAATTTATTCAACTCCTCTGCTACTTACCGTCTATGTAATTGGTTTTCTGACATTCTCGACACAAAACGCATCATTGAATATCTTTTAACTGAATTCAAATAACTTCTCATAAAAGTTTTGCTTGTGCACTAGACCGAGATAAATGGCATTTTGAAAATTACCTTTTGCTTAAATGATCTGGAAATTTAGCTCAGAAGCAGCCATTGTTTGAGATAAACGTGGCCCAAGCAGGCCAATGTGACTGTATTAATGAATGTTGCCTATTTGGCGAAACAGATGGGCAGGAACGCTTATGAGACACAAAAATTAAAAAGACATTTAACCAAAAAATTCCATCCCTTATTTTGATTTTTTGCCTTCTCAGTAGGCTAAGTTAATAAGTTTCTTTTCTTACAAACTACTACTGCATTAATAAAAGGGCAAAATGTTGCATTGCAAGCATGCAAATTACTCATATTTGCAAAATCTGCAACAAAAACTACAAGATGCATTGCTCTTTTACACGGTTTTGTCCCAAAAACACGGTCATCTGTGCTGTAGTTATTTTTAGCTTCATTTTGTCGGTGTCCTGGCCTCTATTTTCGGACAGTATCGTAGCTGCATTTCAAAAAGTTTACCTCGAATATGGGGCTTAATAAAAATGCATTGAATTCCTCGTGAAAATTAGTAAAGGAGGCACAATTACGAGTGCTTGTCGGTGACTTTCAATCGAAAATGCTAACTTTTCGGCTTGTGATTTTGATCCCAGACACCCAACTTCGAACTTCACTCAGAAGATATCACTGGAATTTTTAAAGTACCTAGACTGCACCGGTTTAAAAATAATTTATGCTTCCAACCACGCAGACAATGGAACAACAATGTAGGTGGTGGTCTCCGTTAAATCTTTTCTAAACAAACGGTAAATCTGTTTCACCTTACATGCGTGTCTCCTACTTCGTTTCTGTGTAGACGGTGCGATTAACTTCGGAGACATGAAGAACCTTAAAATCACTGATACGATATTGATCATTAGTCAGTTTGCAGTCTAAAATGCATTGGGAAAAAGGCTTTCGCAGTGGCTTTAAAACGGTAGATAAATTGAGTCCTTTTGCACCATCCCCAACTCCACAGGAGCTTTCCTTGCGGGTCTGAAGTGATGGCAAAGGCAATTTTTACAAAGCTGAGAAACTTTTACCTGCTTTTTGCTTTCACCCATTTCGCACTCGTCTAAATATTACGAAAATGGTTAGTTCCAGATATACCGAATGTCATTTGAACTAATTAGTTTGAGTGAGTTGACTAACATATAGATCCTCACAACAACTTGTAAGGTTTTAAAATGCATCT